AACATTCTTCATAATGCTCGTGAAAGGCTGCCTAGTAGAGGTGGGCATGAGCTGTACCATTTATTTGTTTAAAAAGTACGATATGGCCCTAGCTGGTTTGGCTCAATGGTTAGGGTGTCGGCCCACAAACTGAAGGGTCCTGGGTTTGATTCCTGCTGGGGGCATGTACCTTGGTTGCAGGCTTGGCCCCATGAGGGGTGTGTGCGGGAGCAACCAGTTCATATGTCTCTCTCACATCAATGTTTCTCTCCCCCCCTCCACTTTCTCTGAAAAGCAATGGAAAAAATATCCTCAGGTGAGGATTAAAAAAAAAAAAATGTACTTGATGATACTGCTCTGTCCCCTCTGTTGTGCTTGACAAGGGGACTATCTCTCAAGGACTTTCATACTTAGTGGGGGAGAGAGACTGATAATCACTGATAATACAGTTTCGAAAACTCTGTGGTTGCCCGGCCGGGCGTGGCTCAGCGGTTGAGTGTCGACCTAGGATCCAGGCGATCGGGGTTCGATTCCCGGTCAGGGCACATGCCTGGGTTGTGGGCTCGATCAATGACTCTCTCATCATTGATGTTTCTATCTCTCTCTCCCTCTCTTTTCCTCTCTCTGAAATCAATAAAGATATATTTAAAAAAAGAAAAAAGAAAACTCTGCCGCCATGGCCGGCCACAGGGGTGGTCCTGAGAAGTGGGCATTCTCAGGGGAGGCGGGACGTAGCCAGGCTGGGGGAGCCAGGTGCAGGGAGAAAGCACTTTACACACAGGACTCCGGTAACCACGCACGAGACCAAGTCTAGAAGCTGCAAGGAGCCCAGTGTGACTGGAGCTTGGTGTGCTGGGGGCCAAAGTCAGGGCATGGGGTCCCATGTGACATGCTAAGGAGTCAGATTTTTCTCCTGGGGACAATGGGGACATGATGGGCGGGAGCAGCACAGGCTTGGACAGGTCACCGGCCTCCATGGATGATGAGTAATGAGCGTGTCAGTCATCCCCGTACGGCTGGGTGCCTCTGGGTGCCAGCAGGCAGGTTCCTGGGTGGGTCCATGATGATTATACTGCTCAGTTACCCAGCAAACATTTTGTAGGTTAACACTGAGCTCCATATCATATATGCAGACTTCTTTTTAAAAAAATATATTTTTATTGATTTTAGGGAGAAGGAGAGAGCGATAGAAACATGGATGAGAAAAACATTGGCTGCCTCCTGCACACTCCCCACCGGGGATCGAGCCCACAACCGGGCATGCGCCCTGACCAGGATGGAATCAGTGACCTCTTGGTGCATGGGACAACACTCAACCACTGAGCCACATCAGCTGGGCATAGATTTCTGATGGACATCTATGGAGTGTCTACCTGGGCCAGATATGGGTAACTCACCAGGTCCCTGGCATACATTTTGTAATGCAGAGCCCAGCCCAGGGCAGTTCTCACTGCTCAGTGAGCTCCTGAGCCCTGGTCCCAAAGACCTAGCCAATCTCCGTTCATGCAGAAGGTCACTGAGTGTTTGCAGTTGGATATGAAGCAATGTGCACAAAACGAGAACACGATTTATCAAGGAAATATGAAGGAAGCCCTTGATTTCAATCTGGCTAAGCTCATTTGCGTTGTTAGGTGTGAGGAGCCGATTTTAACAATCCTTCCAAGCCCCCCTGGCTGTGCTCTTGTGAGTTCCCTACTCCAGAAACAGCCTCCTGCCTGTCCTCTCCGCGTGGCTGCCTTTCATGTTGAGCAATTGGGTAGGCACTTCCTTCGGTCTTACCTTCAGAGCTCTTTTCCAGGCCTTGCTCCCCAGCAGGCTCGAGCATGGGTTTGCATGACTTCTTGTCTGTTAAAACATCAGCTTCCAGAATTAAAGGGCTCATCGCCCAACAGCACCACCTTCTCGCCCATCATTTGGAGCCAATTCCTGCAGCTGCCCTGGACAACCTCTCAAGTTAACAAAGTCTGAATTTTTATTAGACTCAGCTAGGAAACGCATCCTCTTTTGCAAACGCTTGATGTTATGCTCACTCCGAGTCTTGCCAGAAGTCAAGTCTAATCGCCTGCGAGAGAAGCCCGGGGCTTTTCAAAGGCCCACAGTTGTCTACACGAGAAGAAATCCCAGCGATAGTAAAGGGGCTGAATTCTGAGTGAAGCAGAAAGCTGATGGCCTGGTGGTTCTCGAGGCCGTCGAAGGACTCTGCCCTCCTCTCTGAATCTGCACAGCGCTCAGCACCCACAGCTGGCCCCAAACCGTCCATCCAGGGCCTGGAGCTGGAATCTGGGAGGCGGTAAGGTTGTGCTGACCTTCCCCAGGCCTCCTTCTGCGTTTCGTCCAGAACAAAGAGCCTCTGCCCAACTCCCTAGGGATGAGCCCAGCGACTGTGAACTGCTCCCTCCTCCATGGTGACAAGAAGAAACAGCCCGGGACTTCCAAGAGCCATCGCCATGGTACTTCTCCTCTCTTGCCACTCAGTTTAGACTGTGGTCGGACGCGTGGGTGCACCACACCGAGGGCCTGCACGCTTCGCCCAGACACACAGGTTATGGATTTGCCCTGTGTGGCAGAGCCCGTGCTGTGAAGAGACATGATATTCTTTCCAGGAAAAATCCTGTAATTAACTGTATTTTGGGGAGAAGAACATTCTGCCTGCTCCTCTCCTCCCTGCTTTTCATTTAACATATTTATCAGAATGAAATGCCTCGGCGAGCAGAGAGCTGCAGCTGAGCCCAGCTGCACTCCAAGCACCCCTCGCTGTTTCCCACTCCCACCAGGCTGCACCCGCACTTGCTGGGATTGGGGCTCCTTTCAGGGGCAGCCACCCCCAGAACACGGACAGGAAGCTCATCAGCTTCCTGGAGACAGCAACGGGGCAGAAAAGCACCCCAAAGGAAACCCTTGTCTGTGTGGGAGAAGAAATTAATGCGTGAGGGGGTTGGAGGCAGAAAGTGAGCATACGCGAGGGTGAGTCTGTGCGTACGTGTGTGTGAGATGGGGGATGTTGTGTGTGTACCTGTGTGCATGCAAGTCTGTGGGCTGAGTTTTTACATCATAACTTCAAGTCCATTTGGAAAAGGCAAATCTTTCAGAGAAACCGTAACGAGATTCCATTTTCTTTTTGCTGAAGATGAATCGCCCCTGAGAGCCCAGCTTAGCTTGGGTCCTGTCTCGGTGGAAGCAGAGCGGGCTCCCCAGGAACGTGTTTCAGCATCAGTCTGAGAAGCTCTGGTAGCCGGCACCACCTGTGCTCAGATCTCCACCAAATCCCACATGCCAGGGGCACTGTGAGTGTGAGCCAACGGGCGCCCAGCACAGTAGCCACTGTTGGGATTGCTTCATGCACTCAGTCATCCAGTCAATCATCCATCCATCCATCCATCCATCCATCCATCCATCCATCCATCCATCCATCCAACAGCTACAGTGCCTACTGTGTGCCAGGGCTGCTTACACACTAGAGATGCAGGCAGGGCCTCTGCCTTCAGGAGGCCTTTTCTTTGACAATTAAAGAACCAAAGTGAAGTCAGATACACTAAGTGCTATGGACAAAATAAGGCAGGACAGTGGGTAAAGGAAGACCAGGCTTGGGGAAGGTTGATGACTTGGGTCCGACTGCTCACCCAGGCCACCTCCTGGCCCTGGGCTCTGCAGCACAGCTGGGCCACAAGTTGACAAGGAACACACTGCTCTCATCTCAAAAAAGCCGCTGTGGCAGAGCTGCTCACCACACGTGCCCTTTCCTCCCGGGCACAGAGCTGGCCGATGTTCCTGGTATCCCTTGCAATCACACATGGACCAAGGCTGGGTTTTGGTCAGTGGAATTCAGGTAAACAGATACACGCCACGTCCACCTTCCAGACCTGGGGCCTCACTCTGGGCCTGACTCCCGCAGACGACCTTCACCGGATCGAGACATAAGCCTCCATGTGTGAGGTTTCTGGCATTTTGCGGATGCCCGTCATAGCAGCCAGCCAGCCCTCACCCACACCCGCGCTATGCTCACAGCCTGTTCAGGTGGGAGATTCGGCCTGAAGGTGGCCCTCCCCACAGGGCTGCTGGACACGTCAGAGTGTCCCAGGAGCAGAGGAAAAATTCTCTCCAAACCGCAGCAACACTGAAGATGAGAAATAGTGTGTCTGAGCTGCTGGCATGGTCTCCCTGCTCTGCAGAGCTTGCAGCTTTGCTCAGTGGACACCTAACACCACGTTCCCAGCTCCTTCCCCCACAGCTCTGGCTTAGAAATGTCCGCAGCAGTGTCCTCAGGAGCCTGCACCTGCAGGGACTCAGGAGGCCTGATTTCGCAAGGTTTGTGTCACCTGGGCAACTCTTCCTGTTTTGCAGCTGCTCAATTGGAAAACGCCGCCCGTCTACATCAGAGCGTGCAGATGTCGCTGTGACACTGCGAGGAGAAACACGCCCATCAACACGCCCACCGGGCCCGTCAGGGGACCCGAGCCCTCCGTGGGCCTGGGTTTTAATGGAGGCTCCACTATACAGGTGCAATTGGTTCAGTCATTGCCCACGAACCCAAAACTGTGGACTGGGAATCACAAACTCCGTCTCAAGACTTGCGACTTTTCAGCAAGATCGTCATCACAGACATGCCACCGTTCAGTAACTTAGTTATAATTGGAAAGACCTTTGAATAATCAGACCAAAGACAGGTGTCAGAGGTCAAAGGCCAGAACCAAAGCCCCCGCCTTGCCTCCTCCCACTCGAGAGCAGCCACTTGACAGTAACCGAGAGACAGGGGACCCAACTCACGCGGCCCACCTGCCATGGATGGCTTGATAGCCCCTCTGGGTCTCTCTGCTCTGTGACAGTCTGTGTAACACTCATTACCGAGAAGGAGAAATCTCGACCTTAGACACCAAACGCAAACCCATCCCTCGTGCCAGGAACAAGCCCGTCAGACCCGATGAGCAAGATCCGCAGAGCAGAGGCTGGGAAGCCGGGACCTTCCCCACCAGGGGGGTCCCCCGTGGAGGAGGGGTTCCCCACGCAGGGGGTTCTGCACTTACCCGCACGAGCTGCTGTGGGAAGGGCCCGCGTGAGTTCTCTGGCACGTTGATGGGTGGGATGACCCAGTCCCGCTTCTGTCTCCGCAGCCCACTGGAGTGCAGGTGCTGGGGCCACAGCAGCAGCGTGTCGCTCGGAGGCTGGGAGGGGTCCAGGGCCACAGTCTTCTTTCCCTTCTGCGGCATCTTTCAGGAAGGGGAGAGAAGAGCCAGAGTGTGGTTAAGCTCTGCACCAAGGAGAAGGCGTCGGCTCAGAGAGTCTGTATTCTCTGGTCTACAGGGAAAGATTACACGATGTTGGGACCAGGGGCTAAGTGTCAGGAAAACGTCAAGTGAGTCCCCATCTGCACAAAGAAATCGATTACAGAATTAAGTGGTGGGGAAGAAAACACAACAAAGAAGAAAAGGTAATTCACTTTTCCACCAATAGAGTGGATCCAGGCTTCTAAATCCCCCCAAACGGAAAAAATCACAAAGGGAAAGATGAATACATTTTAATTTAAGACTTTTATGAAAATATATCTTAAAAGTAATTGAGGAACTTGGGAAAAGCAATTTATGATGAATCCGACAAAAGGTTAACAGCCTCGCTATATAAAGAGTTCTTACAAATCAATAAATAACTTGAATTTTTTTATAACAGGGAAACGGCACGAATAGATACTGAACAGCAACATAAACAAGGACCAATAAACTTCTAAAAATGCTCATGTTTGCCAGTAATCAAACACCACCAATCAGAGCAGTGTGTTCTCTTCACTTAACCGAGTGACCCTCGGCACCGAGGGCTGTGCTGCGAGCGAGTCTGCAGAGGGTGAAGGCCGAGGGTGCGGGGCTCGGCGGGGAGCAGACCTGGGTCTCATACTTAAGTGCACGCGAGGATTTGTGACACTGGCCAAGTCCCTTGATCTTGCCAAACTCCAGCTACTTCTCCTATGGAACGGGGGAGTGACAATAGCGCTGCATTCAGAGGGTTCCACGGGGATCACACTGGTAAGTCCCCGTACCTGGCGGTGAGCCCGGGGCTGGACGGTGGCTGCACCGACGCCGATGGGGGTCATTGCTGTCGGCACCGACCGTAGCCCGCTTGCCTCCAGTCTGCCAGCGACTAGCAAGAGCTTCAGGTGGCTCCACAGCTAGAAATCTATCCCAAAGCAGCTACGTGTGGACAAAAATCTCCGCGTTCAGATGCTCACTGCAGATGTTTTTATACTAACATTATATATAGAAAATAAAAATACCAGAACAAATCTCTGAATGCCTGGTGGCAAATAGTGTAAAATGCATTTCACTATGTTCTTATCTTGGGATGTTACAGGCACTACAGGCTCCTCTCTGAAAACAAGGACATGGAGAAGCGGCCCAGTACAGACGTAGCACGGGTCTTAGTGTTTCAAGGGTCCAGAGGAGATGGGACAAAACGCGTCCGGGCGCCCGCCTGGCTTCCTCCCTTCACCAGGGGTCTTGCTCGTTCGTTTTACTTTATTCCTTTTACCTGTGTACCTGAATGTCACCATGTGCACGGCTTTTTATAATTAAAAGAACTTAAGAACTTCATGTGCACGCGTGACACTTATGCACACGTCGCCTCCATGTCTATGTTCCGAGCCCCCGGCACGGCTCAGCAGGTCTCAGCACAGCGCTCATGGCTGTGTTCTCACGGCGAAGGCGGACCATGGTCCAGGAAAGCCCAACGCAGAACGGACAAGACTGGCTGGAGGTGCCTGACCAATCCTAGTGGGGTCTCCACCCCGCAGCTGGGCTCAGGGGCCCCCGAGGACCCCGGCTGGTCTTAGCATCGCGTCCGTGGACAGAGAAACTTCCCTTTCCCTTTCGCCAAAAAGCTGCATAGCAGTAAGTTAACATGGACACAAAACTGCCTCATTGATGCCCCCAAAAATCTTTTACCCGCCCTGAATGCCCAAACTTAAAGCTGCATAAATGGAAAAACCCATCTGGACCAGCCGCACTCCTGTGAGAGGCCCCCCGGGACTCCCTCCTCTGGGTCCCTTGTATTGTTCCCACGATCAAGAGTTTGCAGCAATTAATACCAAAGGCGTCCCTGCGTCACTCGCATCCTTAGCAAGGAGCCACGCAAGGAAGGTATCCCTACGGGTCCCACTTCCCAGGGGATGTGACATTGTTCCAACTTCTGTTCAAGTCAAGCGGATAGGTGCTGCCTCGGGACCAGTCCTCAGTCATGAGGACACAGGGCAGGGTCCTTTCCAGGGTCCTTCTGAGCCTCACAGAGCTGTGTTTCGGACAGTCCTGGCCACACGCTCTCCCCCGGAAGCCAGAACACAGACAGCTGCTTTCCACGCCTACAAGGGCGGCCTGTGCCTTGGAGGTTCCGAGTGGTCCCCACAGCCTTCACCCAAAGCCACCCCTCTGCCAACTCAGTGGGAGGCGTCAGGACCTTCACTTTACTAGGGACACAACAGGGGGCCTCAGAGAGGCCAAGGCACTTCCGAGGGTCATCCAGCTCATCAGGCAGAGGCAGGATTTGAGGCCTGGGGGTCGGACTGCGAGGCCAGAGCGCCTGGCTGAGTGTGACCCTCCTCTGCTGGAGTCGCTCTGCCTGTGAGGTCTCGTCCCTGTACGGGTCCCCCTGGGTGGGCTGGGCAGAAATCAGCATTCCCACTGACTGAAGGGGGGAGCAGCCGCACCCAGGATGTGGCGCTAAACCTCAGGATGGAGGGAGAGCTCTGAGGTCCCAGCAGGCCAGCTTCCAGGGGGCTGGTCAGAGATGCATAGTCGTAGGTCCCGTCCAGGATTCACCACACACAGGTGCTAAGGCTCCACTGTCCCCAGATACCTGCCTCAGGAGGAGGGGCCTGGTTGGAGTTTGTTGTTGAGCGTGTCCCCTCAGGGCAGCAGACAGACTTGCCCAAACGAAGCTTGCACAGGATGATTCGGGAGCCTGGGCCACAAGCACATCCTGTATGTGTGTGGGGGGGTGGCTGTCGGTGCGTCCCCCACGCCCCCCTCGTGACAGTGCTGAGAGCACAGGTCTGCCTCACCCGTGGTACTCGGACATCAGCAGAGGCTCACCTGAGCCCTTTGAATTTCAGACTCAGACTTTCAAAGGGTTTTCATAAAGCCATTTAAAACCAGACCAAACCAAAGCAAACCAAAGCAAACCAAAGCAAACCAAAGCAAACCAAAGCAAACCAAACCCTGCTTTATCTTCATCTGCTCTGGAAGAGCTTGCCTGGCGTTAATTTCCCGTGTTGTTTAAACAAACGAGACTATTTTAAAGCTGTGAGACGAATGTAATAAAATCTGGTGAAAATCACTGCCAGCCCTGTATCGGCGTCAGCCAGGAAGACACACCCACTTCTCCCGGAGAAGGTTGGGGTGCCAGGTGGCGGCTCGGGTGGGAGAGCGGGCCCGTGTGGAGCACGGCGTGTGGGTGCTGCCACGTAATTGTGCTGTGAGCAGCCTCCAGGCCCCTCAAAGTGCCTCCTCACAGGTGTGGCACGTTGCCCTAGCACCCCCTGCTCTGTGTTTCTGAGCTAACGGCACTGAGGTCTGGGCGATGGTAAGACAGTGGCCTCTACATACTGTCACTGAGGATTATGTGCCCGCAGGTGGCATGCAGGTGTGTAGAGGCACACATGTGTATGCGTACATGCACACACAGACACACACACATACGTGTCCCCGGCTCAGGGCCACGTGTGAGCCAGTCCTTGCTCTAGGATGGCTGGGGGCGTGTCTCTAAGGTACGGCCTCGGCAGGGGCCAGATGCTCATTTGCGAAGCCCTGACTGTCTGATTCTCAACCAGCCTCTATTTACAAAGCATTTCTCATTTTGGCTCCCCTCTCCCCACTGAGTCTTAATTGTGCTTCGAATGGGGTTCAGTCTGATGACCCCAGGCCGGGGTCCCAGTGCTGGGCATGGGGCCTTGGACTCCCTCTGGGCCTCAGCTTCCCCATTCAAGAGGCCCCCTGGACAGCTGGGGTGGGGCAGTAAGCCTGGCGAGACAGGCGATGTCGACCCTGAGCCCCGCGGATGCGCCACGAGGGCACTGCTCCGCGGATGCTGGCTCTGGAAGACAGACCGTGTCTGGGCGGAACCCCTTTGCAGGGCGTGTCCACTCTGGCCTGGCATGTGGGGCTCTGGGGGCCCAGGATGGGCGATCTTTCCCAATCAGCTTGTCCATGGCCCTGGCACCCCTCTCGGGGGGGGGGTTTCCGGCCCAATCGCGAGTGCAGGCACCTACCTCTCTGTCCCGGGACAAAGTGACGAAGCCCTCACGCTGCAGGCACCCACTGCTCTTTAGGGACGAAGTGACAGTGAATGAGCTCAGGGAGAGAGAGGAAGCCGTGAGAACAGCGACAGCTTCCGCTTCCACTGCCAGGCCAAGCCCCCAGTTCACGGGCGAGCTGCACGATGCAGAAAAACCTCATCGTTCCCACCCCGTCCCCAGCCCCAGCCCAACCCTGAACCGCAGGGACGCCCGCCCGCCGCCTTCCTCCCGCCGCCCCTCATCCCGCACGCCGTGGTCCGGAGCCCCTCCCCGAGCCCGCCGCCCTGTGCCCGCCTCGCCGCTCGAGGGTGGCTCTCGGGTCCGACTGAGTGTAATCGGCTGAGACTCCAGGTGAGTCTTCGGGGACTCATCAGAGTTACCAAGAGGCTGGGTGGCCCCCCTCCCGCTGTCACTCGCGAGGAAAAGATGAATAATGCACAACTGACCCGGGGCGGGTTTTAAATTACTGCAGTTTTTTCCAGAGGAAAAAAAAGTGTCAGGGGAAGACGAGAGTCATGCCTCCTCCAATCACCATGCGAAGGTTATAATTTATTCCATCTTTCTACTGTCCAACTACGAACTTGTGGGAACAGAGAATTAGGAAGAGCCAGGAGGGAGGATGGCTGTGACCAGCAGGCTGGCTCCTGAAACACTCGGGGTGATGCTGAACAGGGGGTGCAATAATCCGTGGTCAGCCTTTGGTGCAGGAGCCCCTGGGTGCCTCCGATGGGCGCCTCCCGCCAGGTTGGCAGGTGAATGAAAAGTGAGGGAGTTTCCGTATGATAGGAGCGCTGAGGATGGGGCCCCCTGCACGCCTTTCTGACCCAACAGATTTGGCCCCACAGGTGGGGTCCAGGGGTGTGCATGGTGGACGTGCCCCTGAGACATCGGGAGCCACGTGAGGACTCCACGTGCTGCAGACAAGGAGGAAAC